TTTAAGATGGTGATCAAAAATGTCCATAGTGTACTTCTTAGAAATTTATATATAGGGTATTGAAATAAAAAAGAACAAAATACTTAATTGTGTCAACTTCCAGCACACAGAGAAAAGAGGTGTGAAGTTTTGTTAAGGATAAATTAATATTTCAATTACTTAAGGTAGATCTGTTCAGGCAGCAAGTAGTACCTCATCTGGTTTAACACCAATTCAGCTTCTCTAATATGGAAGTGAAAACCTATTCACCGCTGACTTAGTCTCAGGGGCTGAGGTTTATTTTATAATAAATTTGTTAGTTTAGTCTTTAAAGAAGTTGGGGCCTAATCCCACATGATGGAGATTAGGGCCTACTTTTTCTTCTGTTAGACGCAGAGTCTCTGGTTTTATTCCTAAGTCCTTGATTCATTTTGAGTTGAGTTTTGTGCATTGTGAGAGGGCTTTAATTTCATTTCTTCGCATATGGAATCCTAGTTTTCCCAGCACCATTTGTTGAAGAGGCTATCTTTTCTCCAATGCATGTTTTTGGCACCTTTGTCTAATATAAGATAATTATAATTTTGTGGGTTAGTCTCTGTGTCCTCTATTCTGTACCATTGGTTTACCCATCTGTTTTGGTGCTAATACCATGCTGTTTTTGTTACTATTGCTCTGTAGTATAGTTTAAGTTCTGGTATAGTGATGCCACCTGCTTCACTCTTCCTGCTAAGCATTGCTTTAGCTATTTCTGGGTCTCTTATTTTTCCAGATGAATTTTATGATTGCTTTTTCTATTTCTATAAGGAATGTCATTGGGATTTTGATCAGAATTGCATTAAATCGATATAGTGCTTTTGGTAGTATGATCATTTTGATAATATTAATTCTGCCTATCCAAGAGCAAGGTAGATCTGTCTTCTGAGGTCTTCTTTGATTTCTTTCTTTAGGGCTCTGTAATTTTCATTATATAGATCTTTCACCTCTTTCATTAAGTTGATTCCCAAGTATTTTTTTTTTTTTTGAGGCTATTGAGAATGGGGTAGTTTTCCTCATTATCCCTCTCAGAGGATTTTTCACTGATATACAGAAATACCTTTGATTTATGGGTATTGATTTTATATACTGCTACTTTGCTGAATTCATTTACTAGTTATAGGAGTTTTCTGGTGGAACTTTTAGGGTCTTCTAGGTATAGAATCATATCATCAGCAAGAAGTGCCAATTTGAGTTTTTCTTTTCCTATGCGTATCCCTTTAATTTTTTTTTCCTTCTAATTGCACTGCCAGTGTTTCAAGAGCTATGTTAAATAGAAGTGATGAAAGATATCATCCCAGTCTTGTTCCAGTTTTTAGAGGGAATGCCTTCGATTTCTCCATTTAGAATGATGTTGGCCTGGGGCTTAGCATAGATAGCCTTTATAATGTTGAGATATGTTCCTGTTGTCCCAAGTTTTTTCTATTGTTTTGAACATAAAAGGTGCTATATTTTGGAAATGCTTTTTCTGAGTCTATTGTGATGATCATGTGATTCTTATCTTTAAGTCTGTTGATGTGGTGAATTATATTTATTGATTTCCGTATGTTGAACCAAACTTGCATCCTTGGGATGAATCCCACTTAATCGTGGTGCATGATCTTTTTGATATGTTTTTGTATTCAATTTGCCAGAATTTTATTGAGAATTTTTGCATCTATGTTCATTAGAGATATTGGTCTGAAGTTTTCTTTTTTGGATGTGTCTTTGCCTGGTTTTGGAATCAGGGTGATATTGTCCTCATAGAATGAGTTTGGAAGTGCTCCCTCTTTTTCTATTTTCTGAAATAAATTGAAGGGTATTAGTATTAGTTCTTCTTTAAAGTCTTGTAGAACTCTGCTGTGTATCCATCCGGTCCTGGGCTTTTCTTGCTTGGTAGACTTTTGATGGTGTCTTCTATTTTGTCACTTGAAATTGATCTGTTTAAATTGTGTATATCGTCCTGATTCAATTTGGGCAAATTATATGACTCTAGAAATTTGTCGATGCCTTCGATATTTTCTATTTTATTGGAGTACAAGTTTTCAAAATAATTTCTAATTATCTTCTGTATTTCTGTAGTGTTGATATTTCTTTTTTTTATCACCTATGTTAAAAATTTGAGTTTTCTCTCTCCTTCTCTTTATTAGCATGGCTAAGAGTCTGTCAATTTTATTTATTTTTCAAAGAATCAACTTTTTGTTCTGTCAACTTTTTCAATTGTTTCTTTTGTTTCAATTTCATTGATTTTAGTTCTTATTTTAATTATTTCCTGTCTTCTACTGCTTTTGGTGTTGATTTGTTCTTTTTCTAGGGCTTTGAGATGTAATGTTAAGTCATTTATGTGTTGACTTTTTCTTCTTTTAAGGAATGAAGTCCATGCAATGAACTTTTCTCTTAAAACTGCCTTCATAGTGTCCCAGAAATTTCAATATTGTATCTGTGTTCTCATTCACCTCTAAAATTTTTTAATCTCCTCCTTGATGTCTTCTGCAATCTATTGTTCATTCAGTAACATATTATTTAGTCTCCAGGTGTTGGAGTGGCTTTTATTTCCTATTTTATTATTGATTTCTAATTTTATTCCATCATGATCTGATGGAATGCAGGGTAGTATCTCAGCTTTTTTATATTTGCTAAGAGTTGCTTTGTGGCATAGTATATGGTCTATTTTAGGGAAAGATCATGTGCTGCTGAGAACAAAGTGTATTCTCTTATTGAAGGATGAAATATTCTATGTATGTCAGTTAAGTCTAAGTTATTGATTGTATTATTGAGTTCTATAGTTTCTTTGTTCAGCTTTTGTTTGGAAGATCTATCTAGTGATGAAAGAGGTGTGTTAAAGTCACCCAAAATTATTTTGTTGTGGTCTATTTGACTCTTGAACTTGAGAAGAGTTTGTTTGATGAACGTAGACATGAGGATGGAAACCGCTGCTTGCTTCTGCAGTCCATGTGAGTGGTATGATTTTTCCCAACCCTTCACCTTCAGTCTGTTGATGTCTTTGTCTATAAGATGAGTCTCTTGGGCATATTGTTGGGTCTTTTTTTTTTTTTTTTAATCCAATTTGTTAGTCTATGTCTTTTGTTTGGTGAATTTAGGCCAGTAATAACATTCAGGGTTATTATTGAGACATGATTTGTATTCACAGACATTTTTGTTTATTTTTGGTATATAACATGACTTGGTTTCTCTTCTGATTAGATTTTCCTTTCGTGTAATACCTCCCTTTGTTTATTTTCATCATTTTGTTTTTCCATTTTCTCTTCTTGGAATATTTTGCTGAGGATGTAACTTTTGTTTATCATGGAAGGTTTTTATTTCATCATCAAATCTAAGCTTAGTTTTGCTGGATATGATTCTTGGTTGGCATCCATTTTCTTTCAGAGTTTGGTATATGTTGTTCCACAATCTCCTGGCTTTGAGGGTCTGGGTTGAAAAATCTGCTGAGATACGAATTGGTCTTCCCTTATATGTGATCTGATTCCTCTCTCTTGTGGCTTTTAAGATTCTATCCTTATTCTGTATGCTAGGCATTTTCATTATAATGTGTCTTGGTGTAGATCTTTGTAATTTTGTACATTTGGTGTCCTGTAAGCCTCTTGTATTGGATTTTCCAATTCATTATTTATGCTTGGGAAATTTTCTGATATTATCTCACTGAAGAGATAGTGCATTCCTTTGCTTTGAAACTTTGTGCCTTCTTCTATCCCAATAACTCAGATTTGGTCTTTTGATGCTGTTGCATAATTCTTGGATGTTCTGTTCATGGTTTCTTACAGTCTTTACTCTGTGATCAACTTTATTTTCCAGATTGTACACTTTGTCTTCATTTTCTGATGTTCTTTCTTCCAAGTGATCTAGTCTGTTGGTTATGCTTTCTATTGCGTTTTTTATTTGATTTATTGTATACTTCATTTCAAGGATTTCTGTGTTTTTTTTTTTCAGAGTCTCTCTTTCTCTCAATAATCTTTTGCTACCTGTATTTGCTCTCTTATCTCTTTGTTGGACTGATCAATTTTTTCCTGTATTTCCTCATTTAGATTATTCTTTAATTCACAGATCATTTTAATTATGAACCTTCTGAACTCTTTCTCTGACATTTTAATAACTTCGCTGTCCATGGGTTCTATTACTATAGTATCCTGGTTTGTTTGGGGCACTTTCCTCCCTTGTTTTTTCATGTTGTCTATGGGTCTTCCTTTCTTGCAGTGTGGATCTGAGATATTACAGTTTCTTCCCTATATTCTTATAGTACTCATGCAGATTGTCTGTACCTCACCTTGATGTTGGGCTTCTAGACCCTGCTAGTATCCCTCAATGTGTGCTACTGCATCTAAAGGTGGTGGTGGCAATAGCCGAGGTAACTCGAGATAATAGTTAAGGTGCCCCAAGTTGGAAGCAATGTCTTACAGAGATGGGCCTGAAAGGTTGGGCCTCACACTCCCTTTGGCATGCCTACTCTGAGATGCAGCTGCTTCTAGTCCCTGTCTACTGTCAGGGGCTAGTGCATGGGGAAGGCTATGGCGATGAATACAGTGTCCCAAGATGGAAATGGGTTAGGCTTAGGCTTCCAGGTGGCAGGGCGGTGGGCCAAGTGCGAACTCAGACTTACCCTGGACCTGGGTCCTACACAAGTCAGTGTGGATGGATCTGGGCCGGGCCTGGGCTCCCACTGTAGTCTGCTGGTTGGAAGAGGCCGTCCAGTGCCAGAAGCTGGGCTCCTGTGGGCGTCTGCCCCATGGGTGGAGGGGTGAACCAGGGGCCTTCTGTGAGCCTGGGTCCCACACAGGCTGGAGTGGGCGGTCTCTGGGACTTTTTCAATATAGAAAGGTATAATTAGATTTTGGCCTTTTAGATCATAGTGAGTCTGCTTTTTGTTATATAATTGTTCTGTTTGGTCTTATTCTTCAAGAATCTTCATGTTTTTTGAGCATATTTATTCTTGGTTCCTTTGGATTTTAAAAAATATACTAAATAAGCATGTGTTTTCTTTCCTTTTATTGTAGCTTCAAATAGATTGGGAGAAAATCAAAGCCAAAATTGAGATGGAAATTACTAAGGAACGAGAGCGATCATCAAGCAGCTTGTCCAGCAAGAACATGGGGCTAAAGCACTAAGTGACATGCTAACCTTTAAAAATGTTATCTTTTGAAATTAATTTTGACTAGACAAAGATAAGCATGTTTTGGTTGCTAAAGAAAAATGCATCATCTTTAAATAATAATGAGCACTTTCTGCATATTAGTAAAATACATTCAGTAAGGTTAAGCGCAGAATAATTGATGTAATGCCATCTTTTATATTTTTCTAATTAGCCATTTCTTTATACGTCTCTATACCTGTTGATTACATTCCAGTTTTTTCTTTATTACTTTATCCCTAAATCTTCAGTATCAACAATATTAATGCTGATAATAGAACATTGAATTCTTTAAAATGTATGCTATCATTAATTTATTTGACCTCCACATTGTAAAACACCTCCAAAAATTTATTAAAAAAAAATGATAATGATGGATTTTTGAAAATGTGTAACAATGTAGACACTTGAATACTGAAGTTCATAGCAACATTATTTGAATAGTAATGGGTGAAAACAACTCAAATATCCATCAACAGATGAGTGATAAACCAATGTGGTATGCACATACAATAAAATATTATTTACTGTTACCATGAAATTAAATTCTGTTACATGCTGCAAGATGGAAAAATTATGCAAAATGAAATAAACCAGACACAAAGGTCTAATAGTCTGTGATACTACTTATATGAGAATAAGCAAATTCATAGAGACAGAAAGGAGAATAGTGATTATCAGTGATCAGAGGGAGGGGGAGGAGTTTATCATTTAAAGGACATAGAGTTTATGTTTAGGATAAACAAATTCTGGAAATACAGAGAGTGGTTGTGGCCTCACAACATCATAAATATTAATGCCTCTGAATTATAGTCTTAAAATGATTAAAATGCTAAATCTTATTATGTAAATTTAACATAATTTAAAAAACATATAGAATAAGCAAGAGGTATTTTCCTTATTCCTCTCCTGACTTGAGAATGTTCTGGCTATAGGCCCTGGGAATCTGAAAGATTTGTGAAAATCTCCTTAGATAATAAACCTATTTGACTAGCTTTAACTCAGTATGTCCCAAAATTATTATTACCACAAAAGCTTTTTAACAATAACACAAAGATCCCTTAGAAAGCCTCCCATGAATTTGTATTTTGGCAATAGTACATTATAGAGTGGGTATGTGCATATACATTGGAAAGGGATTAACTCTTTTACCTCCATTTTAATTACTCTTTAGTTTTTTCTTTTATAAAAATGTTCTTTACTTTTCAACACATTTTTTTTTTCTGAAATGTTGGAATATGCTATTCTTGATGCAGATGCTAGATATAAGGATGTATTCAGTTTGTGAAATCTGACTAATCAGTTTATTTGTAAGTTGTCCTGAAAAGTTTATATATGCTTTCTATATATTGTTATATTTCAATGAAAAGCTTAAAAAGAAAATAGTTTAAAGGATAAATTTTATGTTATGTATATTTTACCGCAATTAAAAGAAGTAAAAAATACTAATGACAGGTTTGTGTTTAACAAAAATTTTCTGATATTCTATAATTCAATTCCATTCTGACACTGACTACTTAGAGTTGGCATCAGACCCCACAAGTTAAATGTCAAGGTCCCCAACAAGATTGCCCTTTCTTCAGACACCATCTGTAAGTAGAGTCCCTGGCCTTCCCTGAAGTCCCTAGGTTACCTGGACTTGTATCTGAGTTGGCTGCACATTTAGGGGTTCCTATAACCCCTCTTCACATTTGATAATTTTTTAGAATGATTCACAGAACTCACTCAAAGTCTTAACAGTTTTATTTGAAAGGATACAACTCATGAACAGCTACATAGAAGGTCTGAGGGGGCTTTTGAGGTAGGGTGGAAGGGAAGAGGAAGGGACACAGAACTTCCTTATCCTCTCCCTGTTGAATCTAGGTGCAGCATATTTCCAGCTCATAAATGTGTTTACCAACCAGGAAGCCCTTTAACCCAGCCTTCCTGTCCTGAGAGCTTTTTTTTTTTTTTTTTTTAATTAGGGTTTCATTACATATGCATTGGCTATGCAACTGAATTCAATATCCAGGCTCCCTCCTCTGATTGGAGATATAGTAACTAAAATTCCAACCTTTTGATTTATTTATTTTTGGCAACCAGCCTCCTATGGCTACTATCTAGGTCCCCTCCCCAAAAGTCATTTCATTAGCATAACAAATACTCTTATCACTCAAGGAATTTCATGGATTATTTTGGATTATCTGTGTTAGGAACCCTCTTTTCTCACCCCATAAAAGACCAGATATATATTTTTTATTTTTTGGTGGTGCTGGGTATTGAACCCAGAGCCTTGTACATGCGAGGCAAGCACTCTATCAACTGAGCTATAGCTATCTCCAGCCCCAGATACATTCTTTGTATACCACAGGCCTCCCCTGGTCTTTGACTATAGGAGTTTTTTTTTGTTGTTGTTGTTGTTTTCAGAAAATGTACTGGGATTTAGTTTTTTTCCCTTTTTACTGGCATATTATAATTATACTATGTTTTATAGCGAAAGGATCATTCCTGACTGAGCCTAACAGATATAGCAACATTTGTAGTTTTCCAACATTCTTAACAGTATCAGCATTATAATCTTACCCACAAGGCCAGCGATAATAGACATTATGGTAGGTGTAACCTGAGAAATAAGTTTTAAAATACTGGTACATTACTAGAGTTCCATCTAGTCCCTAATAATTAGTCCAGTCCATCATTTTGAATGATCAACATATCTCCCAGTATAAAATCACTATGATATGCAGGCTTCCATTTGATCATGTCAGATTCTAAAATGAAAAAATGGTCTCAGCAACACAAGATATCACCATTCAGGCATCTGGTATAATTGAGCTAAGAGTTAATGTCATCTCTTCCTCTGATCCTCTTTTGAAGCATTAATGTAATACTGGAATTCTCTCATTAATTCATTTACTCATTCCTTCACCTTTAGCTACTATTTTTACTTTTCTGCATTTATACACAAACTTTCAACCTTTGGAAGGGACAGTATATTTGGCCATTGTGCCGCTCCAGATTCTAGGCAATAATAGTAATCTAGCAAGTACTTCTCCTTCAATCTATTCCATGTAGAGTGTAATTACATAAGTACAAAATTAATGGGCTGTTTCTACCAGTTATCAATATAACTATATTCATGGTTAGCTTCAGTTTTGCCAAATAGGGTGCTCTGGTTTGAATGTCCCCTCCAAAACTTAGGTTGAAATTTAATTGCAACTGTGAAAGCATCAGGTGGGACATTTAAAAAGTATTTAGGTCATGAGGACTCTGCCCTCATGAATAAATAAATTTTTTTATCAAAGGAGTGGGTTAATTATAAAGCAAGCTCTCTTAAGTGTGTGTTCTCTTGTTTCTTACCTTCTCACATGCTTTCTTGCCATGTAATGCCCTCCATCATGTTATGACACAGTAAGAAGTCCTTCCCCAGATGCTGGCACCTTCATGCTTCCCAGCTTCCAGGACTATGTGAAATAAATTTCTTTTCTTTATAAATTGTACAGTCTGTAGCATTTCATTATAGCAGCAGAAAATGACTAAGACATGGATGAAGGCACAACCCATCTCCATCAGGCACTTAGGAATTCTGACATAGAGATTTAAAGTAGTATTTCAGTTTTTTGCTTAGGAATCATCCCTACTTCCATTACTTGTAGCTGCCACCCTGGTCCTAGGTCACTGCATCAAATAGGAAAAAGAAAATGGAAGAAATGTGAGCAAGAAAGGAAAAAGTATAATCATAGCAACATCCTCCCGATATGAGAATTGTATAATTATGCTAGTATCCTTCCCCAGTCTCTCTTCCCCAGATCCACCAGAAAAGCACAAGGATCTAATGCAGACAGTCTCTAAGCACATACTCCTGAAGACATGTAAGCCAGCCCTTCATGCCTGTATTTCCCCCTATTTAAAGATTCAGTTGCATGTTCTTTTTTAAAAAATCTTTTTAGTTGTTGATGGACACAATTCATTTATTTGTTTATTATATGTAGTGCTATGGATCCAACCCAGTTCCTCACACATGCTAGGCAAGCACTCTACCCCTGAGCTACACCCTACCCCAATTGCATGTTCTGATTCTCCTTTGTACTATTACTCTGAGAAGGACATCTCTCTGTCATTGTTAGATATCGGTTTTCCTTGGTTTGAAGAAATATGCCTTGGTGGTTGAATTGGTGCAATATCTTCTCTTCTGGTTTTTAATAATACTCTGAACATTAGCATCTATCCCCAAATAAGCAAAACCACTCCAGAGTACCTGTTTCTGCCAGGATTCATATGTAGCTTCTCCCAGGTCTACTGGCATCAGTCCAGCTTATCAGTTAAGGATAGGGTTTTCCTCCTGGAGAATATGTGCCAGAGCCATCTATCTGTAGTTTCTGTCTTTCTGACAAAAAGAATAGTTCTAGTGCACATTTTGTTCCTCAGCAGATACAAGAAGAACATATCTATATTCAGTCTATTTCTGCATTACCTCAGAGCCCTGCATCAATTCATTTTATTAACCTAGGTGGCTATGTCAAGTGAACACACTGGGTCATCTGCTTTTTGATTCCAGTCACCTTCCTACACTGGAAGCACTTCTGATGGGCTTTGACATGTTCCACTTTAATGCACCCTGAAATTCCCATTGCGATTTCCACAGAGCTGTGCCCAATAAAGACATCCCTTTAATAGGCACAGTCTCCTTTTGTCTGACCATGTGGTAAAAACACAAACAGGAATAAATGGCATGCAATGCATCCCACAAAGGTGATTGGCTTTTCACTTCTTTGATCAGAGCCTGACCATCCCCCCAACCCCCCCAAAAAAAAGTGATGCATTCACATTGGAACCACCGTTAATTAACCATGAAGCTATTTATTAGTTCAGTTAAAAACTATTTATAGGGCACTGTCCAAAAGTTCATAGAAACAGGCAGCAGCTTGGGTGGTTTCAAAGTCAGTACTAAGGGATAAGTTACCTGCTCATGAATATGTTGCATTCCCCCAGTCCATATTTCATACAAACCATTCTGTTTTATTATGGACTGTTCTTATCATTGCTCTCCTCATTAATGTTTCTCTAATACTAATCCAGACAACATAGATATTTCAGGTTTTAAGATTGTTTTATGTCCTGCAGTCATAGAGGTGGTTTAAAACTTTAATTTTAATATTTTCCTCTCAAATGGAAATTCTGTACTACTCTCAGTAGTTGTTGCTGGGAGAGACTCACATGCTTTTGCATAAGCCCCAGTCTCTGAAGCATACAGGACTATTGTACTGAGAATTTGTCCAATGAATTTGTGGATTCCAGCTTTTAATCTACACTGCGTGGGTTTAGGGACCTTCTTTATTTCCTTTGGCTTAAAGAGCAGGTTTACATGTCATATTTTTACTATTATAGGTAAGGGAAATGTTCCCCAGTCAGACATGATTCTTCCCCATTCTCAGGTAAGAGCCATAAATACTTCACATAAACCTTGTTAAAATGTATCAATTTTTATTCAAACTTCTACCTTCATCTCATCAAATCTTGCATTTCTGTTTCCTCTGAATCTAATGTGGCTCCCATTAGGTCTTCACCAGCAGATTTTGGCACCACAGTAAATAGGGCTACATGT